AATTATTAAATTACTCTACCTAATGTAATTTCTCCTTGGTGTTTTCTCTTTAGTTCTGAACTTGTCTGTTCCAGGACATTTTCATAGTCAGCCTTCAAGGTTTCTATGGCAACAGCATGTTCGCTGCTCTGATACATCATTTCTTCTTGCAATTTAACACTGTTTGCTTCCTCTTCAACTGTATCAAAGAGAATATGAACAGCAAGTTAATATGAGTCTCCCTGTGGGTATTTCCAAAGAAATTGAAGATGCAATGATTACTGCTGAAAAAACTAAGATCTTAAGATCGAAGTGAAGATTTGAAAATTTGGGTAATAAGATGGAATATTGACCAATATTAAGATATAAAGTGAAAATTTTAGTTTGCTTTTCACAAATTTATACAGTCATTTATGCTCTGAGATTGGCTGTGAATTATCACAGCAAGCAGCAGAGGTTTTTCTAACTTACCAAGTTTCTCCTGAATTACTTTCATCTCCTGTAAAGTTGATTCTATTTTTCTTTGTAGTTGGTTGTTGTATTTTTTACTCAACAGCAACTGTAGATTTAAAAAAAAAATCAAGAATGGTTCAGGCTGGGAGTTTCTAAGACTGTTCAATCGAAACACATATTTTTGCAATTATTTAATTAAATTTATTGAGACAATATGTCATTCTATTACAGTGACAAAACCTAATGATAAGTAATCCAGTCTGACAAGGGCACTGGGCTAAAACAAAGGAAGAGCAGTGTGGCAAATACTAGCAAGTAAGTAGGAAAGTACTCTGTAAAAGAATGCATGTCAATTTGAAATTTCCTTTAAGAGCTGGATAGAGCCACTTCAAAGTGATCTGAATGCTAATATGTTGGTATTGCATTTAAGCAGCTGACAGTTGGTGCCAAAGGTTAACATAATTTGTAAGATCAAAGCCTCTGACTCTACCACTTAAAATACTGGAAATAGTGACAAAAATGATAATGATGACGACCATAAGGAGAATAATCAAATTGATGACCACTATAGATACTTCTCTAATATGACACCTCTCTGGACAGTAGAAAGGTCCAGGCAAAATACCCAGTTCTCTCCCTGTTCTTAGTGATACAAAGTGATAATAGTAACATCCATCACACAAAGTTCCAAACTTGAAAAAACATTCTGACAACAAAAACTGCAATGACATTAAGACTTCATGAGTAGCATTCTTACCCTATGAACAACTGCTAGAATCATGACAGACGCTGCCACAAAATCCACATT